AATTGAAATTATTAATTAAATGAGGATAATATGGTAAATTCACACTTTTTCATATTTAAAAAAATTAAAATGAAAAGAAAAATAAGATAATGGCCTATTTTTATGGAATACAACTACCCATTATCTTTTTTAATTCTAAAATAAATTTTAAATTTTCTTAAAAAAGCCTCTCGCAGGCGCGGAAGCGTTCAGAGAGACTAGTAGAAAACTAAGTATAAGTTCAAGGGGCAAATCACCGACTATATATGCCTAAAAATTCAGGTGGGAATCTATCATTTGAAATCTAAGGTAAACCTTTCCAATTCCGAGTCCGTAATGAAATTGAAATAATAATAAAAATTACTTAATGACATCCTCCATAATCCTTCCAAGTCCAAAATGTTCCAAATTCGTGTGAGTAGCCCCTCCACGGTTGCTTTTGCAATTGGTCGAATCCAATTCAACAGAATGCCCAAAACAAGATTCTCTGCCATTCAATCGAAAACAGAGATACCCACTTCAGAGCCAAACCCAGGTCAGACCAAACTGCAGTTTCCTCACATTCTCTCTCTGCTGCCCTCCATTGCTTTCATTGTTTACCTTTTAATACTAGTTTTGGTTATTCCAATTTCATTTCTCTTTGTTTTAATGTTGGATTCTTTTATTTGTGAAAATTTCAGGTTCTGAAGGTTCCAACGATGGTTCAGCTCCCGAGCTTCGTGTTTTTACGAGGAGAAAGAGATTAAAAAAGACAGAAGTTCAAAAAATACATCTTGAAGTAAAACCTCATGCCCCAAAAGTGAGAATTTTTACTCTTTAATTGCTCCATGTATAATAACGTTATCTGGATACATGGATTCTTTCATTTTAGAAAGTGTTAATTGTTTGTATCATTGATTTGTTACTTGAAAGTTGAAACTAGCAGGTACATTGATTCTGATTTTATATGGATACATATACGTGCAATACATACAGTTCTCCCACTCCACAAGTTCATTTCCTCATTTTCTCCCCTCTCTTCCTTTGACACTTGGGTTCAATTTTTTTACACACCTAATAACCATTTTGTTTTGACTGTGATATTCGGCATCCAGAAAAGGAGTCTCACTTTATAGTAATGAAGTTTAAGCTATAAAT